ATCATAATATATAATAAATTTACTATAAGTTATATTATTCAAATGTTGATTTTTTATAGTTTATTTATAATTAAAATTACTATAGAATTTATTAATCTTTTGTCAGCATTGTATAATGTATCCAAAACTGCTATTTTTCTCGACTTAAATTGATGTTTTATAGCGTTGTTTTATTATATAAGATAATTATTTTATTGTTATTGTTGTGTTAAGACAATAACAAACCAAATTAATAGTAAGTAGTGGGTTTTTATCGTAATATTTTGATGTTTTTTGGTTCTCCAAGTATTTTTAGTTTGTGTGGAATCCATTTTTTTATTTCAATAATAATATTTTTGTTATGTTCTTATTTTATTTTGGTTTGAACCAATCTTATGGTTATATCAAACCCACAATCTTGCACACGTTTTAAGTGTTTTTCATGTTATTTATTGGCAACTTGAATATCTGATAATATTATTTAATCATTTTTTATTATCATTTTTATTTGTTTATGAAAACAGTTTATTTTCATATTATTTATATTAATGATATTAATTTGTTAAATTATATATTTTATTGATTGAAGGACAAATCTTTAACAAAAACCAATTAATTTGAGTTTATGAATGATGAAATGTTTTATAAATAATTCAAAAGTTTGAATTTGAGTTGAACTATTTTATTAAATAAGTCAAAAATCATTCTAAATTGTTCATGAAAAGTCGTCATTATTTTCATTTTTTTGGAAAAGTGAAATTATTTTTTGAAATTTTTTCTGAAAAAAATTAAAATAAAAATTTTCAATCCTTGAAGGGTTAAAACGTATTTAAAAAAACATTTATAAAGCAAAAACATTTTTCAAAGAAAAATGATGTTTTTTAAGTGTTAATAATAAAATACATTTAAAAATAATTTAAATAAATTAATTGTAATCTATTTTTATATTTTCAATTAAATAAAACATTCCGCGTTTTTAATTAAATATACAGATATTTATAATGATATTATACCGTATTTTTTTGATGTTATTAAAAGTTTACTCTTATAAAAAAATATTTGTATTTGCCGAATAAAATAAGATGTTTAAATCTATTGACAAACAATGTTTACAATAATTTACAAACATAGTTATAAACATAATTTGACGTCGTAATATTTAAATATATACATTAATGTAAATATATTGTAATTGCTGTTTTTAGTTGAATTATGACTGTTTATGACATTTTTAATTGTAAAATTCGTGAAAAGGTAGTGGAAGACGATTCTTCTTTGTTATGCAAATCAAAAAATTGAAAAGTAAGTCAGAATTGAATTCTGAACCGATTGTAAATTTTGTGTTATTATGTGATATTTAATGATTATAAAATTAAATATGAACAATTGTTATTTGAATCATTTTGTAATTATTTTGATATCAACAATTTTCGATCAACAACTTTTTGTTGATAAATTTATATAAACTTAATATTATTATATTAAACATTCAATTAATTATTGTATTATTATTTACATTACAAAACATAAAAGTATTCAATTATATTTCTATAATATCACTACTATTATCATAAAATTAAATAGAGACATTAATTGATTATTATTTTTCAATAATTTAATAACAATAGTTTGTAAAAAAATATTTTTATTAACCCTTTGCTTTCATTTGAAAAAAAAACATTTAAAAATGTGTTAATTTAATAAATATCTTAACAAGTTACAACAAACACAATCTAAATAATATCACAATAAAATGTGAGAATAACGCATTGTACAACAATTTTAACTTGTTGCTTTGGGTTGTTCTTATGTATTTATTAGATTTAATTATTAATAGCATTTGTCCAAAGTGTAAAAATAATTTTGTTGTGTATTTGACAATGATATTAATATAATTTATTAACCAAATTTCATTTCATTGTTTAATGTTGTTGTTAAAATTAGGATACATTAATATGATGTCACAAGTTGTGAATAATTAATCGTGTTGTTTTTTAAGGTTCATCTTTATATGTTAATGATATAAAAAATAGTAATTATAAGTAAATAACTATTTATCATTTATAGCAAATTACAATCAATATTTTTTTTATTTTTTCTAAAACAATTTTCAGTTGCAACTATATGCATATTTATATTTCAGGACTTCTACTTCAATAATTTATACTCAATTTATAAGTTACAGTTAGTTGTGAGTCTAAAAAACGTAATATTGTCATATTTGTAATAAATGCATTGTTGAATTTACAAATATTATAACATTGTTATTA